CTTGCATTCTAGCAAGTGCAGAGTTTAAGTGAGTTTGTTCAATTTGTTCAAGTGAGTTTGGCCCTGTTTTACGACCGTTCATGCCACAGTTATTGAAGTGAATCGCTGCCGCTGTTAAGTTAGTCACAGGGTGGCTATATGGATGCAGCTTCCCCATTTATTTCGCTGGCCATAAGGTCATAAGCGGGGATAATGTGACCTTGGGACACTGCAACCCTCAGTTGAATCAGTTGCCTGAATTTTGATCTCACGACTGTGAGGATGTTGCCACTGTCATAAATGTGAAAATGGTCACAAGCCATTTTTTTCAAGGTCGTCGTCACTTTGAATGGTCACCAAGCAAACTGTCGTAAGTCAAGGGCTATCTGTACATTTCCTTCTGCATCTACATTATTACTGCATTCATTAGGGAGATTTCGCCTTGGGGGCATTCGCTGCCTTGTTTTCTTACTAACGGAAGTAATAACTGCATATAACCCTCAGAATATTTGCAAAGGACCATCCTGATTCCTAGGTGCCAAGAAACCCACTGTCAGGCTTCTCCCGACTTCAGCGTTTAGGAAAGAAAGACCCTCAACTCCAATTATGAAGCAACAGGATTACTTTTACTAAACTCAGGCAGTTACAGGGTAAGCAAAGCTGGATCTCAATATTCCTGCACAAAGCCTGCGATTTTACCTCTTCCCTGGCCCTCCCTGCTTGTCCAGTCCATCAGCGTCCAGTGATATTCGGACTAGATGTTTTGGGAAGAACTCTAAGAGTTGGCGCCTCTTTGGTGGAGTTTCACATTCTATTCCCATGGCTCCGTCCTCGATCGGCCAGTCTGCTCCAGATCGACAGCTTTGATTCCTGTAACCTTGTCATCCCCGCTCCTGCCTCCCCAATCCTACTCTTTACTTTCCCGATCCTAAACTTCTACATGAAGGGACGTTTAATGCAAAGACAGAGCTCAGCTCTTTTGTTTGGGCGCTTAAAATAAAGTACTCACGGACTCACCTGACCCTATTCCTATAAAAAAGCGAGCAAAGAGGCTGAATTCAAAGCGCCGGAATATTTTATCTAAACACAGGATGGCAGACGAAAGAATGCTAACTCCGTTGCTAATGAGGAGGGCGGATTTTCTGCAAAGAGAAAGAAAGAGATATATATAACGGAAGCAGGAAAACGCAAGAATTTCATTTATTATTTTTATTATTTTATTTTTTTGAGGGAACGATTAATTCCTGGAATTACAAGAGGTTATGCAAAATGCTAAAATACCTTCACGGGGAAGCTCTAACATGTGTGCTGTAACCATCCAGATGTTGGCATCAGAGGAATTAGAGAGAAGGGGAAGAGCATATTAAAACTGGGGTTTGTTCTTATCGCTGGTGCTAGAAGGCCCAAGCCAATGATTTTCCGAGCAAATAAACTTTTCAAAATATATAGAATATTACCATAGCTGTTAATCTTGGTCAATTTAAATTTTGGTTCTCCTTTCAATGGATCAAATTCTGTTATCTGGGGGTTAGGAGCTAAGTGGGTAGGCAGGAAAGGGCTTCACTTTACACGCCAAAGGATGGCACCAATGCCAACAGAAACAGCCGAAATTTGGCACTTTATTGTATATCCACAGCCCAGAAATTTTGTTTAACCTGTGCCTACTGTACCTGCCATATCTGTCCGCCAGGCAGCTCCAAAGATACACCCCAAAAAGGCCTCCAAGCGGGACGAAAACGATGGCGATTAATATTAAGAACTGGAAATGGAAGGATTCTCTGTTGATTCCTTCCAGATTCACCAACTGCATCTTTCTCTTAAAAACAAAACAAAAAATGGAAAGCTGTATCAATAACACGCCACTGTGCTGCACTTCCCTCCCAGCTGCCTCCTTCCACCTCACCTACCAAGCCTGCGAGGTAGGCTGGCCAGCTGGGAGGAGAGGAGAGGAGGAGGTGAGAATGAAGACAACAGAAAGAGTGGAGAGGAGAGGAGAGGAGAGGAGAGGAGGAAGAGGGGACCAGAGGGGAGGAGAGGGCAGGGGAGGGGAGAGGAGGCAGACAATACCGTTTGAAAACCAGACAGGAGTGGGCTAAGCCAGCATCTGCGTGCCACAAATGCTGAGACACTGGGCCCATGCAGAGCATGGCAGCGGGTTGTGTGAATCACTGCCAAGTCCCAACCCAGCGACACCCAGTAAGGCTCACTTACCACAATGGGATGGGTGATAAGGTAGAACATGTATCCATACTGGAAAACCCCCAAATTGGACCCCACTAATGAGAGAATGAGTGGGCGGGTCAGTTTCTATGAAAAGGTGCAGGAGAGGAAAAACAACAACACAATTCCTTTAGCGGGGAGGACAAAAACCAACACAACACCCATAACACATCTTAGACCTCCCTTCTCCTTTCACCCTTCCAATTTCTGGCTTGGATGGGAAGACAGCCGACCTTCTGCACGTGCTTTATTGTTAGGGGAAAGTGAATTATTTTCCCCAAGTTAGTTTGGACCCCTGGCATATCCTGGTGGCGTCTCATTCACAAACCAACCAGCTGAGATTTAGGAGATTCCAAAGATTGTCTAGGGACTGCAATTTTGTTTTGTTTTTTAAATACAGTTGAAAGCTGATCCTCTTCAGAAATTATTTATAATTTCTCTGCCCTGCCTTGCCTTGAAGCTCAGAAACAACCACAGATCAAGATAAACCCCAACCTCACCAGCCCTCCAAACTCACATCGTTTTGGATTGTGGCTTCCGATTCCTCTTTGTCCTCCATCCTTCCGGGGAGATCAAGCAAAAACAAAAACAAAAAGCAAAGTCTTTCCCTTTGTTCATTCTTCCAACATATTTACAAACGATTCTCCCCCCTGAATCCAGCCAGATAACCTCCCTAAAACTGTTCTCCCTGATAACTCCTGTTCCAAGGTAGACTGCCTCAGATCAGGGAGGCTCCATAGAGCCAGTCCCTAACAACGGACGGCTTTTCTCAAAGAGAAAATTAAAGGAAATTACAAATTTAAGCAAAGAGTTTTCACAATCTTTTCTTTGGAACGTTGCGTTGAGAGCTTCCTCTTCAATTCCTAATTGTTCCAATAAATTCCCCAAATTTGTTGGCATGGTTCCTGACCCTCCATCGCTCCTCTGCCAGCCCATTTAGGGGAAGCCAGTCTCCAAATTTTAGATTTTAAGGCTAGAAATACTGTTTTAAAAAGCCAACTTACTATTTTGGGGTGGGATGTCTTAGAGTAAAAGGAGAAACACCACAGCTGTCTTTCCTTTCGAACAAAAAATGCTGGAGCAGCCGCGAGAACGAATCAGGGAAAAGAGGCGGGAACATTCCGAGAAAAGCAGAATGGCAGTTAGGCGGCTGTTTTGCATAAATTTACATCCAGGGGATTCCATGTTCATGGGTTGAAATGTCTGTTGCTAAGTGAGACCTTTGTTCAGTGAACGTTGCCCCAATTTATGACCATTATTGCCACAGTTGCTCAATGAATCACTGCAGTGGTTGAGTTAGCCACACGGTTGTGAAGCAAATCCAACTTCCCCGTTGACTTTGCTTGGCCAGAAGTTTGCAAAAAGAGATGATGTGGCCCCTGGAGCACTGCAACTGTCATTAATATTAATATGAATTAATAACTGTGAGATCTTGGAGTCCTAGCGATCAATTATTTAAATATGAGCCGGCAGTGTGCTGCAGCAGCCCAAAGAGCCAACACAGTCCTAGGCTGCATCAACAGAGGGATAGAATCAAGATCACGTGAAGTGTTGATACCACTTTATAATCCCTTGGTAAGGCCACACTTGTAATTATGCATCCAGTTTTGGTCACCACGATGTAAAAACGATGTTCAGGCTCTAGAAAGATTGCAGAGGAGAGCCACAAAGAGGATTAGGGGACTGCGGGATAAAACATACAAATAATAGTTGGGTATGTCGAGTGTGATGATCAGAAGGACCAGGGGGGTGACATGATAGCAGGGTTCCAATATCTCAGGGGCTGCCCCAAAGAAGAGGGAGTCAAGCTATTCTCCAAAACACCTGAGAAGGCAGGACAAGAAGAAATGGGTGGAAACTAAACAAGGAGAGAAGCAACCCAGAACTAAGGAGGAATTTCCTGACAGTTAACCAATGGAACAACTGGCCTCCAGAAGTTGTGAAGGCTCCAACACTGGAAGTTTTAAACAAGAAATTGGATAACCCTTTGTCTGAAGTGGTGTAGGGTTTCCTGCCTAGGCAGGGGGTTGGACTAGAAGACCTCCAAGGTCCCTTCCGATTCTGTTATTCTATTCTAATAGGAGACAGTTGCCAAGCATCTGAATCTTGATCACGTGACCATCATGGATGCTTCAACGGTCATAAGTGTGAAAAATGGTCATAAGTCACAATTTTCGGTGCCGAGAATGTATCAGGGTTCTTTTTATTTCCTTTTTGCAGCATGCAGTCGGGGTGGATTATTTGTTTAGATTTAATTTGATATTTGGGCCTCCCCCCCAAATATCACAAATATCCACACAATTCCCCCCTCCCTTTTTTTATTAGTGTTGGGTGTATGTTTTTCTAGTTTGTATGTTATTCTTGTTGAGAAAACCAACAAACTCACATAAACACAAAGATGCAATGCATTTCCCATGGTTTTTACTAACCCTGTTAAATGCCTTTTTTAAAGAACAGGAACCGGGGTGGAATGGAGGACTCCATTTTGGGGACCAGTCCGCCTTATTAAATAAATTTGTGCTTGGGTGACGTATTTTTCTTTGGGCCAGGATTGGATAGAAAGAATTTTTTTTTCCAAAATGTTAGTTTTGTCCTTCCTTTCGGCCTCCACATTGTAGCAATTTTTTGAGCATTGTTGCTTTTTCTAATTTGGAAGTTGGTTATATAAAGATATTGCAAGACAAAAGCAGCAGCAATCCATTTCTTATACAATGGGAGCTACAAGCTGAATTCTTCCCCTAATCTCCTCTAGAGAGTCAGGAAAATCACCTTGGCAGAAATAGGCAAGAATTATAGCTTAAAAGGGCAGAAAAAAAATATTTTATGCCCCGAGGAATAAGATATTATTTGGAAGAGCCTGCTAAACTTACAACCCAATCTTTTTTGCTGAACTACTGCAAAGGAGTTAAAAATAGTAGAAATAAATCCATCCAGATGGAAGAGAGCTTCTGTTTTACTTCATTTTTTAAATTCCAGATCGATTTTGAAAACATTGAGAAGAAAGAGATTTCCTGTTTCTATTCAGCCGTTATTTTTCTGGAATTTTTGGAAGTCGAGGCCACCATGTTCTCCTGGATCTCTTCAAATGTCTTGCCGTTGGTTTCTGGTACGACCCAGAAAATGTAAATAAAGGCGAAGATCATAAAAGGCCAGTAAAGGAGCAAGTAGTAGGTTCCAAGATAGGACTAGAGACAAAAACAAAAATTAAGAAATACTGTGATCAAACTTGGCAGGCCTACAAGACGCACAGAATTGCATGGTAAGGTCACCTCCGTACTGATGAAAAAATCTCCAAGGAGTTTTTAAACAAATATTTTTTTACTACATTTTATTTACTTTTTAAACTTCCAAAGGGATTACCTTAGTCAGAAGAAACAGCAAGGCTGAGACAAAATGGATTCCCCAACTGATTAATCCAGAAATTACAAACGCAGATGCTCGGGATGACTGGAGGAACAATTCACCGATAATCACAGAAAGAATGGAAGCTGGATGGAGAGAAGAGGTTGTATGTTTACAACCGCAAAAACTTCCCTTGGTCTTTCTCCACCTGCGAAGACTCCGTATCCCATCGATCACAAACCTGGTCCCGTTATGAAGCCCATAAGGAAGATGATCATCAAAACAATGCTGATGAGGGCCAATGAGGGGCTGTTGATCTGTGGGGGAGAAAGAAGCACTTATGGGGTGACCATTAAAGTGGTGACCCTCCCCGCCCCCAACTTCACATCTTCACCCAAACTCCTATCTTCCACAGGTCTGGAACCCCATCTAAGAGAAACCTGGCCTGAACTCTATGAAATGGACCAACTGGATGAAATTGACAGATTGGTGAAATTGATCAGCTGGATGAAATTGATGAATTGGTAAAATGGATGGACGGGTGAAATTGGCCAACTAGATGAAAATCACAGATGGCTAAAATTGACCTACAGGTCAAAATTGATGAATTGGTGAAATTGACCAACTGGATGAAACTGATGGATTTGGTGAAATTGACAGATTGGTGAAATGGATGATGAAACTGACCAACTGGATGAAATGGACCAGACTGATTTTATCTGGCGTGGGAAAGTTTGTGTGTGAGAAAAAGCACAGGGATGTTAACAGAAGGGCACTCGAGTTGTCCTGGTGCGTAGAGCAGGAACGTAACCCACCTGAAAAGTGAAGACTAGGGCAATAGTTGAGATGCTACACATCAAGAAGCCACTCAAAAGGAGAAATCTCCGCCCCAAGGAGTCAACGATGCAGATCTAGGAAAAAAAGCAAAGCGGAAGAGATTTGACGCTACGGGCCGCTGGAGAAAAATCCCGAGAAAACCACGGATAACCAAGGACACAAACCAATGGATCATCAAACAAAGGAGCCCACAATTCTTCGTGGAGGCTAAAATAGTCTGGTCTTCGCTTTTGCTATCGTGTTTTCGCTGATTTCAACTGCTCCTGCTGGTTGTATCGCTTTGCTCTAAGTTGGTGGGATGATGGAGGCAGAGATATGAACAAGCCAATAATCAAGTGGGGATAGGAGGTGGCTTACGGTTGTCAGAAGCATCAGCTGGACGATCAAGTTTCCTGCTAATAGAAGGCGCTCCACAGCTTTGGCAGACATTCCTACGGTTTTATAGGTTTGCTGGGCGAAAATTAAAATCTGCAATCAAAGGCAAAAGAGGAGCAGATGGAGGCACACACAGAACTTGGGTCAGGCTCTAAAAACCCCTATGGCAATTTTTCTAAGTAGATTCATCACCTGCAGACAGAATCTTGCTAAACTAAAGCACGTAAAGCTTAGACTTTATAGGGAACTATTAAGGAGGAGCTGCCTTCTCCCTATTTAAGTATTTAAGATGTATTGTCCATTATCTAATTATCTAGCCTAATTGGATAGAGCTACTGCTGTTCGCTGAAGTGGCGTACAATAATACTGTATACAGCAGCACCGGCCTGATCCTTTTTCCAGGTCACCAGTAGCATGGAATTTGTCCCCATGACCGAGGTCCCCTCATCTGTCTCCTTGAGTGAATGATGGAGTCTTCAAACCAGGGGTGGGATTCGAAATGTTTAACAACCAGTTCTGTGGGTGTGGCTAGGTGGGCATGGCCATGTGACTGGGTGGGCATGGCTTTTTTTGAGGGGGCAAATTATTATCCCCTTTATTGTCAGAGTACAATATGTGTATAATGAGATTGGTTGAGTCTACAAATCACAGTGAGGACAGAAGTCGCTAAGCTAATCCCAATCTTATTACACGAGGTGCCCTTTTGTAAAATGTAAACAGCTACCTCTCCACCCCTCTGGTGTCCTGGAGTCCAGGAACAGGTAACAGATAATCAGAGTTGGAAGGGACCTTGCAGGTCATCTAGTCTAACCCCCCGCCCAAGGACATTCTCACACCTGGACCATGGAAGGGAGGTCTCCAGATGACCAGATTGGACCATGTAACTAGGTCCAACCATGGAACCTTTACAGCAGGGGTGTCCAACCTTGGCAACTTTAAGGCTTGTGGACTTCAACTCCCAGAATTCCTCAGCCAGC